AAAAAAGATATTTGTGAATGTTAAAAAATCAATTACAGAAATAAAAATTCAAAAATTGACGAATTTTCCATCTTTTGAATTCCGTTACGTGACTAACGATTAGCGGTGACAAATATATTGAATATGCGCTCAGAAGCACGTCACGTTCTGAGCTCTGTTTATCTGTAAGAAGGCGATAAATATCAGAAGAATTAGACGAGGGCGATTGAAGAGAGAGGCTTTAGGATGACTAATGGATGTTTCCAAAGGGATGGTTGAAAAAAATATTCCTTAAAACTCTGTTCTAAAACGTTCATAAGTATATGAACGAAATGAAGAGAGATACGTGACATTTTTTAAAATTTTAACCACGTCTTAAACACTTTTAATGAATTCCAAGGTGTCTCTCCAACATATATAGCGATATAATAGTGATGATCAAATAGATAGTTTTTTTTTCAGAAGAGAAATTTATTGCGGAAGATGTATATCAGGTAAAAAGTTAGGTTTTTTTTGGTTTTTTTATTTCGCTCAAAGCTACTAGAGGGTTATCTGCGCTATCCATCCCTAATTCAGCAGTGTAAGAGTAGAGGGAAGGCACCTAGTCATCACCGCCAACCGCCAACTCTTGGGCTACTCTTTTACCAACGAATAGAGGGATTGACCGTCACGTTATAATGCTCTCACGGCTGAAAGGGCGAGCATGTTTGGTGTGACGGGGATTCGAACTCGCGACCCTCAGATTGCGGGTCGAGCGCCCTAACTACCTAGCCATGCCAGGCCTAAAATGTAAGGATCCTTCAAAATCCAGATTATTTACAAGACGTTGTCATTAGAGGGATACCCTATGGTTTTGGTGTGCTGCAATGTTTTTGTTAACCCTACCACTATTAATATTTTCTTTTCACTGTCCAACCATCGTCGTTTATGGAACTCGATAGCAATGTTGCCGATTTCGTCGATATAGTTTGTTTTGGATACAATGACGTGTATTTTATAAACACTTACAATAAATCACAGCTAAACTATTGATATCAAAAAAGTACATTATGAGATTAATAGTAGTTAAGTAACATTTCTCGTCGTATTCTTCCTTCTAGATCTCTGCACGCAGGATTAGCACTTTTTAAATTAAAATGTTACGTTGTATTCTTCCCTGTGTCATTCTGCATGCAGGATTAGGATTTGTTAAACTTAAATGTTTCGTCGTATTCTTCGCCGTGGCTCTCTCTTTGCAGGATTAAACACTTGTTAAACTAAATTGTTTTGTTATATTATTCCCTATGGTTCTCTGCAGTTAACACTTCTCATAGTATTCTTCTCTGTGGTTAGCGTGCCGGAATTTGGATTTAAGGTTGCAAGGTTCGCACCTTACCGCCAAAAAAGAAACAAACAAAAACAAAACACACACACACAAGAAAATATGGCTCTCAGTACTTTGGGACCGTGGGTGCGCTATAAGAGTGATGGTCAAAATTCGCTATTCGACTAAAGATATTTAGCTTACAAAAACGAAACAATCAGTTTAAATCCTAGTCTAAATAGTTATATTTTGTTGCAAAACAAAAACCTATAGTTTGAAAATACAAAAAAAAAAAAAATGTTATAGAACCATGCTTATTTCTTAGATAATATAACATTCATATTGCTGTAATTATTGTATAATCTGTACAATTTAATTAAAACATTTCATGAAGCTATATTTTTAAAGGAGAAGTACCTTCTACACTAGATGGCAGCAGCATAGCGGTCTACACGATAATAATGTTGTTAACCTCCTCTCAACGGACATTTGCCACAACACTAGAAGAATACTAATCCCAGGTGTACACTCAGTACCTGTCTAAAAATTTCTAGTTGTCATATAAGCACCTACTGTTAACTCTTACAAGCACTTATTATTTACAAGGGTAACCTGAAGCTAATCTCAAATTACACACACACACACAATTCTGTTAGATGAAGTGAGCATACATTTTAATTATAAAACGAAACACATAAAAAACGGTCCCCAAAACACTGCGACCCCACTAGCAATCACGGTACTAAAGGGTACTAACAGAGTATTAATCATGCTGCATGTTGCTTTTGGAGACGTATGTATTTTATTGCTGTGAGTTAAAACTGTATTTTATTAAAAGACGGTGAAAAACTGGGGAAAAATAACTTTTATTTATTTATTGGTTGATTTTGATGAAGCATGCTTCATTTGAATTGTATTACATAGTTCCATGACATGATATACAATATTTGACTACATTTTATTTAATAAATGTTATCTTTTTAGGTGGGGGAACCCCAAAAAAATTGAGAAAAATGACTCTATTCTCTATCCTTGACTAATTTCGAATCAATAAAGTAGTTTTACATTTCTTTTTTTGTATTATTTTACACACTGGTAAAAACTTAGAACTTTTATACGTAATATTAGTGTTAGGGATAACAGATTTTTTTTAAAATTGAGATAGATACGAGTATGGAAAACTGGAAATTCTTCTAGTTTTCCGCGATTTTTTCTTAAAAAGACGAATTCACCAAAACATTTGCATGTCGTATCACTGGGATTTCTTATGAATGTGTTAAAAGGTATGCTTTTCCAAGTAGAACCGTGCCGGAATAAATGACATTACACTTTGTTTGTTTGTCGTTAATCGCAAAGTTACACATTGGGCTATTGGTGTTTCACAGGTATCGAAACTCGATTTTAGCGTTATAAGCCTTAATACTTCCCGCTCAGCCACTGGAGGGGGGGGGGGCTGTTTGGGGTCAAATATCAGATTTACTGGATTATAAGTATCTTATAAGATATTACGAGATATGGTTGAGAACTTTGCGTTACTGTATTTATTTTCACCCCTTTTTTACGGCATTTTAGAAAGCATATCATTGCTGTAGATTTATTTTTATAACAAGTATAGCGAATATTTAAATAAGAAAGACTTTAAGTGGTGTCCGTCACCTCTCGAGGCCAGTTTCGCCGAAAAGCTTACCATTGGTTCTTGGTAGGGAATTACAATTTATCTTTGTTCTTTCCAAGATCCTGCACTACTGCTTCTGTGTACTTTCGTGATATGTAATTTAAGGTTGATCATGCATGTAGTTATACACCAATAGAAACACTTATAATCGAGAAACGCTTTAGTCATGTAAACTTTCGTTATTTAATGTGTTTGGAACAATACCGTGCGAGATGTTCATGTGGCAGCACAGGCTCTTCCATAAAGTTCACATATAATTTTTTTTAATGATTTATGAGCAGTAATGTAGTCTTACCAATTTCAGCTGTCATGTCTTTGGTGAAGGAAAAAATGTAGAAAACAAACTGGCAAAAAAAAAAGTTAGATATTCTTGTCACTGCTTTTTCGAAATGAATTTTACTGATCAATTAATGGTAAAAATAAACATGATTTTTATTCCTAACTTTGTTTAATTAACGCAAATTGGAGTTTATTGCGAGACTTGTCTATAAACGTAAATAATAACACAACCTATATCTCCAACTTAGATTCAACTGGATTAGTGAATTTTTAGGATATCGATAGCTCTTGAGGAAGCTGTAAAAGTGAAATATTGAGTTAATAAAGATACAGTCTGGAGATATAGGCCGTAATTTTATTTACGTTTATAGAAATAAACGTGATTTTGTTTCTTTCCACTAGTAAATCTAGGTGTACAATGAAGAAATATTTAATTTTGATTCCACGAAGAATAAAGGCTAAACAAATTGACAGTGTTGTATGTTTCTTGTTTATTATTTGCTTGTTGTTATCCACAAAGCCACACAATAGGCAATCTGTACTGTGCCCACCGCGGGTATCAAAACCCAATTTTCAGCGTGATATATCTTAAGACTTACCACTGAACAACTATTAAGGAACAACATTTTATGTTTCCTCTTCGGCCCAAAGTTTGTTTGTTAAAAGTTGGACTGAAGAGGACTCATGAATGTGTCGAAACTTGTATCCATATAAAATTGTTGTTCCCAAATAGTGGATCTAAACTTAATTTCCATTACTTTACACGATATTGTGTATTTTCTTAATAGTAAACATGATTGTTAGTTTCTACCTTTATGTCAGTTCTAAAATTAAATATCCAAATTTAAAAGAAATGGCCGTTTTAGTATGGAGAGCTCATAAAAATATACATATACGTTTCATTGTTTTCTGCCAATTTCTAAAGCGATCAGATAATCAAAGTATAAATTTGATTTGTAAATTTAGCTGTTAACTTCTTAAATCCATTTATCGTTTAAGCTTTTTATCATTATAATACATAAAACATTTAAGAATAACATATATTATTTTCTATTGCGAACAAGAAAACAAAAGCAACAAATAACAAACAGTACGTAAACAGTTTAATCAGGTCTAACAGTAATTAAATATTAAAATCGGCTGTAGTACTCGAATACCCAACTTAACTTTGCGAAGATAACGTTTGAACTCAGCTCGTATATTAGTTAAACTCAGGAGTGAGTTAGTACTTGAATACTGAATACTCATACTGAAGTCAAGCAGAATTTTAAAACTTAAACTGGCGTGAGATAACAATGGAATTAAAACAAGATATTGCTCAGGTTAGAGAGTGTTTTAACATTTAAACTTAAATAAGGCCCATTAGTTCTTAAATACTCAAACGTAGGCCTGATCGCATTTGAATTCTTATTCCCGGGCGAAATAATGATTGCTTTCAGGTTAGATATTAGAGTGTTTCAAGATTTAAGCTTAGGTTAGATTGATTTGAAAACTCAATCTCAGGCGATATAGTATTTAAATACTTAATTCTGGTTGAGGTAGTGCTTCAATTAAATTTGGTTCAAATAGATTTGAATGCTTATTCTTAGGCTGGTTAATGTTTGGCCATTTTATCTCTGGCCAGATAGTCCTTGGATATTTCAATCACCTAATTGTGATATTGAAGTTATTTTTTATCTATTGTGTGGCTCGTACGTCGTCTCCATAGCAAATTTCAAACTAGGTTTATTGTTTAAAAAAAAGGTGAACAATAAAACGACGTACCTGCCTAAAATTTTTGACACACACCCATGAGATACTCTCAACTGTCTACTGATGTCACAGGGCCGAACCCCCTGCTGGGCCATTTCAACTATCCTCTGTCGGACAATGTCAGGTAAAGGACGACCATTTACAAAAAGCCCACCTAGCTGGTTCACTCCACCGCCTAAAATGATATAAAAAAAACAATTACTAAGTAAGAGTATTACCATATAAATAATATGTATGTATATTTACATGTATATATAACATACATATATACACACACACATATATGTATATCCCATGATAAACCAACATTAATGAAAATAATATAACTACTGTATCTATAAAATATAAAGTTTCATGCTACGTAACATACAAACAGTGAGTCGACAAGAGTTCAGTGGTTTAAGGATTGCCGAGCAAATCAGAAACGATATTAAAACTGCTAATGAGCTAAGAAGATTGATGGAGTATTTACTCCTGTTACCTTTGAACAGAAAATAAACGAATTAAATAACTACTTATTTGTATTAATTGTTTAAAACAAATAAAACGGATGTGCCCATCAAAGAACCAGTTTCATAATTCTTTCCCCATGATACATAGGGTACATAGATCATTTAATTAAAGACGTTAGCTTTCAGACGCCTCGGTAAATATACAGTAGTTGAGCATGATAGTGCGTTCATCTCAAAACTTATTCTTAACAGATAATTAGTTGACAGGTAACCAGATGTCAGAATTCCAACTTAATGTGACATAAAGCACAAACAAATGCAGACTAAGGATGTGGTCAGTTTGATAGTTACGTATGATAATCTTATTGCACTATATGTGCTAGATATGTGTCAATGTTAATACAGTTGTTTAGGGTAAAACCCCAGCTAAGATTACTATGAGGAATAAACTGTACAGTTTATCCAAATCTCTCTAAAGCAAAGTAGAAAAAGTCTCGTATGATACATTTTCTGTTCCCAATCTAATGATAAGTATGGTAGTACAGTTATTTACAATATCATGTGCAGATGTGCTTTGTAATTGAAAAGAAGCCGAAGTTTAACAAGCAGAAGTTGCGTTATTGTGGTAATTAAGTATTGGCCCTGGGTAATATCCAACAGATGTCGCTATATGTTATGATGTATTCCAATCGGTTGAATACAAAAGGTAATAAAAATATGTGCAAGAATGTTTTAATATGAAAGTGATGTTGTTAACGAATTCGATTTCAACATTGGACGTGAATTACAAGGATACAAATGGATATTGAAGATGAAATACCGAAGATAGAACAACTGTAAACACTGCTGAAAATGTTATGTACGTTGAATTTACATGATTTCAAATGATACACATGCAATAGTGGCAAGGCAAATAGGATTTTAAGTTGTATATACAGAAATATTGAATACAAGTCTAAAGAGATTATAATGCCATTGTATAAGTTATTCGTTAGGCCACGTTTGGAGTATTGTGTTCAGTCTTGGGCTTCTTACCTCAGAAACGACATTGAAATGTTGGAAAGGGTTCACAGGATGGCTACTAGGATGGTGCCTGGGATGGAAATATTATCATATGACGATAGGTTAAAAAGATCACTGAACTTGTTTTATCTTGAATAAAAAGAGAGTTAGAGGGGATCTTGTTGACATATTTAAGATTGTTGAGGGAACTGATAATGTTGATGCATCATCTTTTTTTCGTATTTAATGGTGAGAATGGTAAGATTAGGGGACACAAATATGAGTTTTTGGCAGGGAAGAAGTCGTATTCAGCTAAGACAGCTTTATTTTTCTAACAGGGTGGTTGGTCTAAGGAACGGGTTACCTTCGGATGTGGTGGATGCAGTTAAGGGAATTTAAGAAAAAGCTTTATAAATATATGAATGAAAAATGCTGGCTTTGGAGTGTTTATTTTGAAGGATTTAGTTTAATTTAGTGGATAGGATAGCCTAAATGGATCAAAAAGGTCACTTGTTGTACTTTCATGTTTTGTTAATAGTTGGGAAATATTTGTGACAAAGAGAAATATAAGTTTTGCAAAGATTAGAGTTACACTAAGGAAGTTACACTGACATTTCTGAGAATTCTATCGATATACAGATATGAATACAATGAATTGGTGCATTGATGAATATCAGCGCACATACGACAGTGGCTAGAGTACGTCACAGACATAAGCTCCGCCCATCAAGGCATAACGGACTGCTGTAACTGTATCATACCGATCTGTGATTTAATTTATAAAATTGATGCTTATATACATATATATAAGATGACATATTGAATGGAGAATTATATAAGCTAAAAGGGTATAGCTTACAACCTTCAATATAAACTCCTTTAATAGTTGTTTCATTACTAAAGTAATTCAACCATAAAAAAATGATGTAATCAAAACTATAAACAAAACAAAGGTAGCAGTTATTTTCATTAGTTTTCCAGTAAATACACTTTTCAACATATGTAAAAAAGTTAGCGTTAAAATATCTATTATATGAGAATTAAATCCTGTCAAAAAAAACAAAACAAACACGAATGCCTCATTGAACTCTGATACTCTAAGATATGGTTTCAATAAAAGCTGTTATTTAACTTTCAATTTATAAAACGTTACGAGGATATTAAATGTTTATATGACTAATATACTACTAATAAATTATTACGTAGACATAATAACAAACATAAAAAAGTCGTATAGAAAGTATAGTAAATTAAGAATTATTTATTATCAATAATATTCATCATTGCGTTAAATATTTCACATTTGTATTTGATATCACAAATTTCTATCACATTTTATAAGAATCTACTACAATTTTCTACCGTTCGATTAATGTCTGCCCATTATGATTTTAGCGACGGAGGTGCAAAGGGGCTGTGAAGGGAGTTGCCGTGAAATCTTGTAAGTGTAGTGAATGTTGCTATGAACTATAGAAATTAATAAATAAGCCTAAAGTAAAGACACAGTGTGAGGTAACCTAGCCTAGATCAAGTGCATAAAATTTATCGCTCCTAGTGGCACAGCGGTATGTCTGCTGACTCACAAACTAGGACCCGGGTTTCGATACCCGTGGTGGGCAGAGCAAAGATAGCCCATTGTGTAGTTTTGTGCTCAATTACAAACAAACCAAGAATAAAATTTATCATGAACGTAAAAATGCCGATCCAATTTTAAACTTAAATAATAAAAAACAAACCTCTTTAATAAACGGATACTTTAAATTAAGAAATCAACAAATATTTTTGAATTTTGTATTTTATTCATTTCATTTTATATTTTCAGTACATAGACTAATAATATTATTAGGTTATACTTTTGTGGCTAAGTAATATGACATAAACGCCATTGTTGGAAAGCATTGTTACCAAAACGCACTGGCTTTTCTATACATATAATAAGTTGTTATATAAGGAACCACTTCTTTTCTATGTGGGTTTTCGCTAGCTTGCCTCATTAAAAGATGCGCACGCACATTCACGCACGCACGTGGATAAGATAAGTAATAATACCAAGGTGCAGACCCTCGGAGTCCACTTAGTACGGGTGCAAAATTTCAGGTTTCTAGGTTCTTTCCTCTTGGAGCTATGGCGGTCACACATACACATACATACACGCCCTTTTATTATTATAAATATCTATGCTTAAATCTCACACACATAAATAATCTTACACGAAGGAATCAACTAAAATTAGATCAATATTAGTAACTGATAGTTATTTAGTTATTAGGCTTTAAAACACAGAAAAATCTGTTAACTGACACTACTACTGGCAAGGAGTAAGTGACAAAGGCCACAAATATATATTACTAAGCTTTAGACTTTAATCTTCCGTTTTTGGGAAGTTTGAATATAGTTATACTTTTTTTTTTATCAGAAACTTTACGTCACAAGTATCTCACTCGTTCATGTGGAATAATGCAAGGGGCTGTTCCACGATACAGACTTGCTTCCACAGTCGTTACAACAAATTCTCATTACCTAATGAAAAATCAAGCAAGCAACGCCCTTTGTGGACATATACATATAACCGGTATGTATGGATATGGATATAAGTATATTTTTCTTGACATGCAATTCGCCAATCATTTTATTCGACTATATATATGTCCGTTAAATACGAATTTTATTTGTTCGATAAGAGTATATGAATACATCTATACTAAACTGTTCAATACGCTATTATACACCTACAAGTTCTATGTATGATTCTCATTTCTTAATTCCTTGTGTTTTGTATTTGGTCTGTCTAGGTACCTAGTGTAAGATTCACTTGCAGATTGCTATTGTTAAATGCCTAATTGAATTTGTTAAGTAAATGCTTTAAATAGAAACGTACGTAACTTTTCGTGCAAAGTTACACATGGTTACCTAATTCTGAACTCACATACTACGAGGAAGGCAGTGAGTCAAAAGTACCCTCTATCATCTCTTGGGTTGCTATTATCTGAACGAATAGTGGGATGTGAGTGTCACTTTTACAACAGCCCCAAAGTGCGAAGCGCGTTTTCATGGCAACAGGACACGAATTAGGACTTCCGGATTTATAGTCTTCATACGCTAATCACTGTGTTTTGAATCATTAGAGATTTATGATTAAGCCTATACCTATGTTGTAAGGCTGGTCGTGGCCTACGATCAGCCCGCCTGGATTTCGAAACCGAGTGTACATGATTTACATCCCGTTGCCGCAAGAATGCACCCCGTACTTGTAGCAGCTGTGGGTACACTATAATAAGAGTGAAGGCCAATTATCGCTATTCGGTTAGACAAAAGTAACCTAAGAGTTTGGCAGTAGGTGATGTTGGCTAGCTACCTGCTCTCTTGTCTGTCATTTCATACTTACGGATGGCTATGTACAGATGACTCGTGCTTAACTTTACGAGAAAATTCTAAGGAAGTACACGTATTACAATGCTAAAAGTATAGTCTTCATTTAAACAGTTTCAAATGTGCAAAGATATTATAAAACGAGAGGAAATAACGTGTTTCGAGTAATATTCAAGCTCAGTACGAACGCTGTTTAATTTATACAACTTGGCTGAAATTTGAGGAAAAGACTCAAAAATACAAGCGATCTGTAGCCCTCAGAGAGTGATGAAATTTGATAATGATGATATTCATGGTTTTAAGTGTATAATGTACAACACAACACATATTATAACCTATCGCACATGTTAGT